ACTTCGCACACAAGGATCTGCAATTGCTTTGTTTGAGCTTTAGCAATCGCAGCGATCACAAGACTTCTCCAGCCATGCATCTCACCATTTTGGCGGGTGAGTTAGTCAAAAGACCGTTTTGGCGTATCCCAGCTCTAGCCATCTCACTGCGAACTAAGGCCCCAACACCTTCCAGCTACATCCTTTGAAACGCCTCACCCAGGACAATCAAGAAACTGTCACAGTTCCACAGATCACGAAGAGACGCAACAGCTTAGTGTTAGCTTCTGCAGCTCTGCTTGGGACAAGAATCAACCTACAAAGACCTGGATGGCTGACGTTTCAGGACAAGTTTCAAGTTTGTTGGGCAGAAATGGCATTGGCAAATCAGCAACCTTGTGTGCGCGCTCAGCTGCATTAACAGATACAGCATGGAAAGCAGAGTTCCTCAATCGCAACAGTTTGTGTGTGTGTGTGGTCCAACCATTCCATTTGTCTTGCAGTTGGCCCAAGCACCGCAACCGGCCTTGCGCATGCTGTGCCGGAACTCACGACGTGAAAGGAATGGAGAGTGCCGATGTGCTGCAGTGCCCGCTGTGGGTGTCCTTCGAGGATGACTCAGGACATGTGCTCCGGCACTGACGAAATCCTCCGGCAAAAAGGGCGGTTCCAACCCCATGTTCGACAGACATTTCTCATTGGAAGTCTGATGTTGTGCGACACCTGGGTGCAGAAAGGGAAGAATAGTCCCTTCGTTTCCCAAAAGATCGGCAGACTGCCTCACAGGACAAACCTACTTTCTGAATGTGGAATCCGGCGAGTTTAAGTCTTCAGACCCAGATCCAGATGGAGAGCAAAAGATGAACTTGGAGAGCGACGAAGGTGGGGAGACGAGCTGAGCAGCTGAGACGAGCGATGACGTCTCGTGGACGTACCCAAGATGAACGCACCCAGAAAGACAAAAGAAGCACGATTGTTTTGGGGTCTTGGTTTGTTCATGGTTTGAGAGCAAATGCACTGGACCCAAGAGTTTGACATTTGTCAAGCAACACTGCCATTACGGGTTGATAACTACGAGGACGCTTCAATTAAATTGTAAAGCAGTCAAAACTGGACCTTGAGAGGTTCCGATGCTTGTCTAGGTAGAACAGCCTCAGGCCGATACGCAGTTACCTCCGCCTCCAACGGTCGTTTTGTTTTGGAGAGTAATACCAATAGGTGGTTCGAACGCACCCCCCTTCCGGTGATGTCGACTCCGGAAACGGATTTGTAAGCTGTGTCAGTCACCTTCAACCTGCAGAGCTGTGCTTCCGAAGCTGTGCTCGGTTCGATCCGCTCCGACCGGTCACTCGATGCCAGGGGAAGTCAAGAGGATGGATGCCAATACCTGTTGTAGCTGCCAAGCTCCATTTCCCGTTGTCGATGCCAGCAAGCCTTCCATGCTGGAAATCGAAGATCACAAGAAATGGATGAAGACAGCGGCTAGAGTTCAAGTTCCTTACAATCCCGAGGTCCCACAGTACGTGGAGGGACATGAAGATTACAATATTTGGTACGGTAAGTACCTGTCCGATCGCAGAAATCCGAAAGACAAAGACAGATATTCAGCTGGGTACACATGTGATCCTGAGAAAGATTCTGGCTGGACGCAGGCTGATCAGCCAGGCTCCGGAAGCCCAGGCTTTTGCCTGTTCTTTGCTCGCGGCTGTTGTGGCTTTGGGCACAAGTGTCGGTATTTTCACCATGTGCCCACAGTCCTTGACATGGCCTCAGCAGATGAAGCACATGACATTTTCGGCAGGGAACGCTTCTCGCAGCATCGTGATGACATGGGTGGTGTTGGCAGTTTCAATGATAGTTGCACTACTCTCTTTGTGGGTGATTTGATGTTTGACAGAACGGCCCCTGATGCAGTCGAGCAGGTGCAGCGTGAGATAGAGTTGCAGTTCCGCAAGTGGGGTGATGTTGAAGACATCAGGGTGGTTTCTTCAAAAGCAATTGCTTTTGTCAGATACACATGGCGCTGCTGCGCAGAGTTTGCCAAAGAGGCTATGGCAGGCCAGAGGCTAGGCAAGTCAAAGTGCATTGTGGTGAATTGGGCGAGGGATGACCCCCGCCCCGATGCAAAGAAGCGTCGCACCAGAGAAGCCAAGGAACAGGTTGACGCGGCTCTGGCGAACAAAGCAGCAGCACTTGGATGGACAAAGCCGGAAATAGCAGCGATCAATTCACGCGTGAAGCCAGACCAAATCGGGCCAGTAGGACCATACCCGGATACTGATTCTCAATTTCGGGCACAGAAACATGTTGAAGGTGTAGTTCAACAACTTGCTCAAGATGCCGCTCAGAGTGAAGCAGATGTGATTCAAAGAGCAGCAGAGTCAAACCTGCGCAAATTGGAAAGCGCTTTCTCTCGGATTCAGCCTTTGGGAGGAACAGAGTAAAAGGGTGCGGAGTGGCAGTAGCCTTTGGAGACTGTAGAAACAAGCACCTTAAGTTGATTGCATGGCTTTTGGACCATGATACAAAGCTTGACAACACTCTTCGTCACATGCGCCTCTGTCTAGGTTTTGGCCAGTAAATTGGAATCCTTCGACAATCCTCCAAAGTGGCAGGTGCGGCTTGGTGTTTCCACTCCTCAATCTTCCAACGTTGGCTTTGGCAACAAACACTTCAGTGTTGAAGGGTCTGGAAAACAAATAGATTACTCGATGAAGTCAGCCAAAGAAGCGGGCGGACAGATATGAATAGGTGAAGTCGTGACTGCGAAAAGACATGACTGACATGAAACAAAAAGGAGGTGCAAATGTGATGGGTAGTCACCAGGATAGATGCGTAGTTAGACTGAAGCGGGACATGAACAACATTGAGGCAATTGGTTTGCCGGTGCAAGCTGTAGGCTTTGCAGAAAATAATCACGTACAAAGTTCAATAGAAGAATACATACCTCCAAATCCTTCCAAGTACAAGACGCGCTAGTAGCAAGCTCCATGAAGCAGCGATGCATGGAAATCATGTTCCCGATACAATCACAGACCACCAAGGGTCAACATCTTGAAAGTGATCATAGTCAGCGAGTGGTTTTGGAATCTCAAAATCCCGTTACTAGGTGCACTAAGTCTGAACATCATTCATGTGATGCTGAAAATGCATCACAGAACATTTGACACTGCTAGCATTTCCTGTTTGATGTATTGTTGTGGCATCAACAAACTTATACCCCTATCAAGCAGCGTACAGTGGTGGTTTTGCACAGCATGCGAACTTGAGCGTGAACGGAACCGGCAAACCTCAAAAGAGTTAAAGCGAGCGATCCAGCCACTTGAATTTGATTTTAGGCAGTGATGTGGAACTTCATTGAAACATATTGTTTATGCAGTGATACTTACCCTTGTTGACGCCATCTGAAGAAGACGATCGGGTGGAAACCGCAAACTGGTCAACGCATCATAATCTTTCACCCAGACTCCACAAAGGACAACTGAACAGATAATGGTACCAACTCGGAAAACAATGACATCAAATACATCCTCTCGTGCCCACAAGGTGAGGGCAAGATAAGTTGACAAGGTGAGGGCAAATTGTTAGGTTTAGCAGTTTAGCTTCATTCTGGACTGTCCGAAGTCTACCCGAAGCAAAGAACTCTGCCCCTGGCCCAAAGTCTAAACTGAGGCCACCATCCAAAATTGGCAGCCGCAGCGAGGCCACTTGATATGTCGAGTGTCCCCAATATAGAAGCAGCATTGGCTACCTGCGCAACAGCAACCTGGGTGCCGTCGGCATTTATCTGAACTGCCCAAACAGCACCCAGAGTGCTGTCGGGGGTGGCACTTCCTAGATATCGCAGCCGCTGTCAGGACAGGTGGCACGCTGGCTTGTGTCACTTATATATCTATTTATTGTTTTTGTGAGTTTAATTGATTTTCTTCTACTTCCTCAGCTGAGTGCGGATGTTGAGATTTGTGGTCAAAGCGCAGCAACATCCTGCAAATGTGCCTGAGAATGCATGTTTGTAGCTTTTTGTATAAGTCCAAATTCGACGCATTCTACCAAGAGGGTGGAACAGCGTTTCATTTTGGAGCTTTGCAGAACTTTGCATGGCCATGGAACTTTGGTGAACATGACGTTTGGAGGTCGAAATTGAATTTATCCATTCAAAACTTCTCTCGATGCTCTTCCATCCATCCCCAGAGACATTTCTACCACACAGGTGACCGTGTACGTCAAATGCTTCCAGTGGCGGCTTTTCACGGCGATGAGTCGATATGAGTCGATTGAGAAACTCTTTGCAAGGCTGTTTGGCCATGGACGGATGCCGCTGGAAACTGTGAAACTGTGGCCTGGGAGCTGTATGCATTTTGGACTTGAGAAAAACACCATGTGCGCTCTCATACGAGAGAAGTTTTTCGACGGACAATGGTGATTTCTTCCAATCATTGGCTAGTGCTTTAGAATGAAGAGTGAAGCAAAAGCACCTGGAGCATGGTAAAGTGCTTTTCCATCCAAGCGGCTGTTTGGACCAATTCGGCCTTCGTCGAAGCCCAGACCCATCACTCTTCGATCGCTGTTCGGAGTTCAGTAGGCGTGCAAGTTGAGTTCAAAGCCAGAATCGTAAAGTCCAGTTCTCATCGCATTGGCTCTCAGCGTTCGTCCATGAGGTCCATGAGCTTCATTCATCAACTGTGTCCACAGATTGATACGACAGTGCGAGGCGTAGAGGCGTAGAGGCAGTTTGAAAGACAGTATACACAGTCATAGCTACATCGCCAAGACAGACTTGTGGAACAGACTCAGCCGGCGAGATCCAGCAACTTGTGCACCAGGCCCAGGCCAACTCATTTTTCTTTGGAATGTACTTGACACGCGAACAAATCTGGCTGTTGTGTACACATGGGCAACCAATCGCAACAACTTACTGTCATGAGTTCCACTGACAGAGATCTCACTGTTTGCTTTGTTCTAGAAACGTGCGATAAGAAACGAGATCGACGCAAGCAGTGCGTCTTCGAAGCAGGTCGAAGATGGGCAAGAAGGCTAAAGAAAGTGGTGGTGGTGAGGATGATGAGAAGAAACTGCGAATTGCCATTGTCAACTCAGACCGTTGCAAACCGAAGAAGTGGCGTCCTCAAGGGTGATGTGGGACTTTCAAGGAAGGGTTTGAAGAGCGTTGAAATCGTCGGAAGGCAGTCTCTAAGAACGACCATAGTACGGATTTCCGGTTCGCACAGCTGATCAGGTGCAAAGCAGAATGCAAGACCCATTGCCCAGTGGTGCGAACTGGAAAGCTTTGCGTAGAGGCAGAGTGGTGATGGAGCGAGCCCTGATGTTTCCGCTTGAGAAATCTCAGGTGAACAGAGACTCAAAGATTAGTTGGATATCCGAGACCCTTTGCATTGGTGCCAGACTCATACTGAAGATCACAGAAGCGCAGTCCGATTGGTTTGAGAACCTTCATGCCTGTGATCGCAAAGCTTCGCCATTTCCTTGTCGAGGTTGTGGTATTTGCGTGAAGAAGTGCCCCTTCGAGGCGCGTGTTGTTGATCCACACTGCACACTAGAAAAACCTATTCATCCTGCCGTGCAAGCTGGAGAAAAACCTATCTTAATTGCCTAGCTATTAGAGTTTTGAGGCGACCGAAGCTAATTTGAGTTTTGTACTTGTTCTTTCCTGGCCATAGAAAAACACCATTTGATGGTGAGTACCAAAGGCGATCACCATTATCAACCTGCCAAAGGCCAGGGATCGACGCCGATCACAAGTGATCTTCGACTTCCAGACCGAAGATACAAACAAGCAGCACAAACAATGCTTTGCAACACGCAGCACAAACTTTGTATACCTTTCAGTGTTGATGACATAGCAAAGAATGAGTGAGAGATGCTCCATATCGTCAAGTGATTGCAATTGCAGGATTTGTCCAGTCACACAACGCACCGATATGGCCTATTTCTCAGTATGGGTATACATACAGATGATAGAAAAGAAGCAGGTATCTCAGCACTCTCGACCTTGTTTCACTCAGGTCCGAATACATTCAAACTTCATCGTTTGCCAACACCTCGCCCAGGACCTTTGCTGAGAGGAGGAAATAATGTAATGCTAGCAGAACTGTTTGCTTGTTTTTATATTTTTTTTCGGTTGAAGTTGTGTCATGCCTCTGAAATCTCAGGACAAGTTCTAGGTCTCGTGGGCACGAATGGCATCGGCAAATCGACGGCCTTGATGGCACGCTCGGCTGCATCACAATGGAAAACAAAAACACTCCGATTGCTGCCTTTGTGTGCCACAAAGTAAAAGGGTGCGGGAAGTCACAGCAATGTGAATGAGAATAAATCAGCAATGCTGCAATGCTGGTGCAGATTGACCAATCACCAGCCTCAGCAATTGCCAGCTGGGAGAGCTTTAGGTATTGGCTGGGAAATTGAAGCCCAACCTGGGACGCTTCGACAATCCTCCTGACTGGCAGGTGCGCCATGTGCCTGGCATTTGCACTCTCTGCATAACATGTTGAATTTGGGTAGCCCTCTTTCGAGGCTTGCTCTAGCCAAAAACGCAGGTTCGTTTCAAGTGTCCGCGTTTCTTTGTTCATCATAGAATCGCTTTATGGATGATCATAGAATGACTGAAGTACCTGGCACTGCCTTTCTCCACTGTGCTGCAAAATCTCCTCCACAAGGCTGCCACAAAATTTTGTGGTTGGTTAAGCCAGAATGTTGAGCAACACAGGGAGTCTGAAAGGGGGTTTATGAAGAGTTACTTGTCCTCATAACAAGTTTTCCATGCAGACCCACTAGCATCGAATCTTTCTTCTCATAAAAAGGATTCCCAAATGCAAGTAAAACATCCAAAGCCTGGGCGCAGCTAGCTAGAGCACTATTCCCAAGAAACTGAAGGCTGAGCGCTCTTTCTTTGAACCAAAACCCTTCAGCCACCCCCCGGTCAATCAATTGACAGCGTCCCTGGGTGATTCAAACTCTCACAATGAAGTAAAAAGCATGGATCCTGTGAAAAACTACACGGTTCATGCAAGTTGGGGGCTGGAAGTCGGAAGCCCCCAAACAAGCGGTAGACAACAAGAGGACGAACACTACTGTACAACGTGACCCTTTGCAGTGCCTCTGATAAGGGGTGCCAGACAGTGAAAGGTATGAACACCAACGAACCAGTTGAGGGTCTCCCTCGCTTCCATCCTCCCCATGTTATTGGAGAATTGACCTACTCCCAACGACAGGTTCTTCACTTTATTAATGACAAAAATGAGACATTCTTCACCCATGGACAATCGGCAGGAGATCATCCAGCATTTCAGAGGGAGCGAGCTGCAGACGTGCGCCGTAGAAAGAAACCAGCCTTGGAAGGGTTGGACGAGACGCGCATGAGCACGGGCAAGAGTTAATCGACATCTTGCTACAATATACACGTGCCTCCAAACTCGAATGTTTGCGAAGCTGCTAGATTGAAAGCACAATGGGAAGGCAAGCCAGAGAACTAGAAGAGAGGTAATGTTGATATGGAATGAGCGAGGTTCTTTCTGTGTTTAAGCAATATGATTATGCTTTTAATATGCTACTCTTAGTTGAAAGCATCACTAGCATTTCTTTTTAGCAACAACAACCACAACAACAACAACAACAACAACATCAAACGAAGAACCCAATGCTTAGGAACTCCAACCGATGTGCTTGTCCGAGCTACCGTCCATGACTCATGCTGCGATTGGAAGAGAAACGCGAGAGGTATATCAAAGGCATGCTTGAGGACAGGCTCAAAGCGATGATCAAGCCACAGTGACTTGGATGCCCGCAAACGCATCAATCAATGATAAATCCCAAGGCAAACGCGTCGATTTTTCTTTCGTACGCAGATGTTGTTGGGTTGTGGATGATGTGCAGACTCAGATCTTGTTTTCGCTGAGGTATGTAGACAAGCTACCAAAGCAGATTTCTGGCTCAGTTGCCGAGATTCTCGGAATGAAGGATGAGAAAAAGATGCAGGAGATCTTATGAGCGAGAGAGATAGAGATAGAGATAGAGATGGAGATGGAGATGGAGATGGAGATGGAGATGGAGGCGGAGATGGAGATGGAGATGGAGATGGAG